TGAAAGATTACTCTAGCTATGTGACTTTGAACAATACTGGATGACATAAACATCAAAATGGTTTACAAATTATGTAAGTACACCTAGTAAGCTATACTTCATTAGTTCTAGGTTTACAGTTGCGATATCATGAGATGTTATATTGTGACTTTATTTTAGGCCCGTGTAAGGCGGTAATTAATTCCTTATGTTATTGTCATTAAGTGGGTAATGAGTCACAAAACAAATAATCAAAACATTTCAGACGTGGGGGCGCCAAAAGTGTCTTTACCCCCGGGTGCTGAGAACCCTTGCTACGCCACTGACAGTAGCGAGATGAGACTTTCGAATATGAGGAAATCTCACATTATGTTTTAAAAAACATTTTCTTATAATTAAAACGAAAACAATGTTAATAACATTTTTTATATAATATAATTTAAGCGGATTCGAAAGGAAGTTATTTACGTCCAAATATATTGCACCACACGTATGAAAAGTTTTTAACATAAAAAGAGGTTGGTTTTGGCCTAGAGGTTAGTGTGCCTAGACTGTACATCCGAGGGTTTATGGCTCAAATCTCGTTACCTCAGTAACGCTCTCCGCACTTTGGATCCGTAAATGCCAAAATCACATTATTCGGTCAGCTAAAGAGTAGCCCTAAAGCTGGTCGCTGGTGCTGCTGACTAGCTTCATACCGAAGATAGTCCATTGTGTAGCTTTGCTTTAAAACAAACAAAAAATCCAAGACAAGTCTGGAAGTGATAGACTAGATGGAAGGCAGCTAGTCACCATCAGCCGCCATCAACTCTTGGGCTACCTCTTACTAACAAATAGTGGGATCGCTCCCAAGGCGGAAAGGGCGAGTATGTTCAGTGAAGGGATTCGAACTTGCAACCCTTAACCACCAGGCCATGCCAAGCCAATAAGATTCGAAAAGAAAGTACTTTCAGGGTTCCAAATTGTGCTATACTGTACTTAACATGAAAATCGGAAAGAAGTATATTGACCGTTAGCACGATCAATCACAAGGTATAAAGAAAAAACAGTGTTTATTTTACAGTTAGGACTACACCAAGAATACCTCTTTAGAATTAGCTCATAATATATGTAGCATAAGGTTTATAAAGTTTTTCATATACGCAATCTTATTCTTACAATATGATATTTAAATAAGTGGAGAAACTGATTGTACCAGAAACATTGTGAGAGATATCAATAGCGTCATCTTCATTGTTTCTCAAATTTAGATTTTTTATACAACTGTTTGATAAATATAACACTTCTATCAATAAGCGTTTCTGTTGAATTGTATGTAAGAAGAATAAAGTGACATGAAAAATACAAAAAGTTTTAAAAATAGATAATATTGATTTGTGTTATAAGCTTATGGATTGATAGTTCTTTATGTAAGAACGCATAAAATATTGACTTAGAGTTTTAACTCAAAACTACCAAATACACAGCGTGGTCACAAGTACATAGACACTACCTTTTCAGAAAAAATGAAAATTTTCAGTCACATTCACATGAATCGATATATTTATAATTTGATTAATATCTAGTAGGTCTTTCTTTCGCTTCGTGGAGTTCGTTGATCCTTTGGGGCATCGTGAGAATCCTCTCGTCAATTTTAGATTGTGGGATTTTCGCCCAATCTTCCTTCAAAACTTGGAGTAGATCGCTCTTCGAAGTTAGTTTTTTTGGTTGTTTCTTGACTTGCCGGTCGACTATGGCCCAGAGGTTTTCGATGGGGTTCATGTCAGGAAATTGACTCGGCCAGGGCAACTTCTGGATACCATTTTCTTCCTGCCACTTTTGGGTGTTTTTAGCAGTGTGACACGGTGCTCCATCTTTCTGGAACAGGGTTGTGTTCTTGTCCACGAAACTCGAGGAATAAAGTGGCAATAGTCCTTCCTCCAATATTTCGACGTATTTCGCAAAATTTATGTTGCCAACGCACTCCACTAAGCTCGATCTCCCA